CTCCAAATGAGCGGCGGCCATCAAATGTTATGAACCTTGGTTTATCTGGTTAGGTTATCAAGGGCTCCGTCACTCAGTTTTTCTGCCTATCAATATCACGAGACAGCAGTTGATTAAGTGCAGCCTATTTCTTGAGAATCAAGTTGAAGCTTTCTATAAAACTTAAGATTACCATCACCTGTTATAGTAATTGTTGTGTAATGTTTAATCAGAACCACTGAACGGTCGTTTAATTCCTGCTGAGACTCACTGTAAATGCGCATCACGTATTTTTGTCCTCTCCCTAGACCCCGATAGAAGTCTAAGCTCTCTGACACGGCCACTTGTCCCTTAGGATAAGACGAAACATTAAACAACCATTAACGACAAGAAAGTTTATTAAGAAGTATACATTTCATTTGTACACATGATAGCCAGTCCCAGTTCGGTGGTTACACTGAGATGTGCAAGATTGTTGAGGTTGTTACCAATTCATCAGCTTTTTGCATGCGACTCTTTCATTCGTGTTTATCTCACGATTGTTTGTAAGTAATGACGTGGGTTTGAATATTGATTTGGACTCGCGGTCTTTCTGGACACGCCCACAAGCGCAGTTTCCAATAGATCACTTAAAAGGTACTTTGCTCGAGGTCTTCTCTTTTTAAAGTTCAGCAGTTTTATATAATCACCTATCTGTTCGGGAGTTTAACTCATGACCCCTCCGATGGGAGGGGTGGTTGTTAGTGTTTGGGAACCAACTCAAAGTGGAACTGAAGAAAGAATGAAAATAAGTAAAGATTTGATCCAGCCAAACATCAATCTTTATTTCGGATTGGCCGTAGTTTTAATTCACTAACATGGTAGTAACAAACACCGCATTTTCTATCCAAGAAGCATCAGAGGTAAAATAATCAAAGCGGCGGTGAATAAGAACTACTGATGAGACCAAACAAGAGCGGATCTAGAGGTTGTTTCATTAAGTGAACGGAAGGTTGTGTGTTACGGCAGACCCTGAAAAGTTGTCCATGCCATCTTCGGTAAATCCTCTTTTAAACCGTGGATTTGCACAGACGGTGGGACGCCGCACAGCCTGAACAACTCAACGGTGCTTTCCAGTTACACTTTTTACACTGCATGTAAATACAGTGAGTCGTTAGCCACTTCGTTATAATATGTTTGTTTTTCACATATGTTTTCCAGTAGGAACACATTTCTTACTTTTTCCCAGAACAGCGCTTTTGATTTGATTGATTCCTGTGCATTGCAATTGAAATTCTTTTGTACACATTCGTTTCCGTATCATTCTGCACGTTTCATTCACAGCTTTTTCAAATGTCATCGATATGCTCCTCTGCCCCAACACCCCCCCCCCTCCGGCCGAACCCCTAACCTGCCCCTTTATCTACAACTGCCTTCAGACTCCGGTTCAACCCATGATACAGGCCCTACCGAGGGAGGGTTACTTCTGGGAAATTTTGCTTCACATACGTCAAGCCCGATCGTTACCAGTGCGTCGTACCAAAGGTACTATTGTCATTCTTATTTGATCTCTTTAGCACCACAAAAGGATTTTCTATCCCTTTTGGGACATGTAATGTTAATGTGTGTACATTATCGGCATGGTGTTACTATTCCGAAATAAACAATGAAAAGTGCGTAACAGGCGATGCTTGTTTATAGCAATACGAATCACACACGAAACTCCTTTGTTAGGTCGCACTTCAAGTAATTCGTTTGATGATCGGTGATCCTCCCCTTCGTCATTTTATGGAGAGAATTTATAAACAGACTTAACATACAAGTATCGATTGCTCACACGAAATCCGTTATGTAATTTGAGCAACTTTTTTCTCAGTATTTGCATAGGTTTATAATGCTCTTTGTTCGTGATAGACTCATGTTAGTCTCAAAACGCCGATCTAATGCGACAAAGTGTTTTGCTTCACAACTATTGTAAAAGACAGTTTTATTCAATAAGCCAATGCGCATTTCCTTTCTATGTCAAGACCGTGCGCTCATACTCTTAAACATCGATTGGATTTTGAATTATCATAATGAAACGGACTTTTCTCTACTATTGAGCGCTTTAATGAGATAAATGAGTTTTACCTAAAGATAGAAATCGAACCCTGCGCTGTATAAAAGCGTAGGCGGCATCCATGAATTGGTTCGAATCCCACTAAACTTTTCGGAATCTCTATATATATGTATGTATAGCTTCCCGTCTGTTTCCCAATCTGTCATTCGTTTTTTCATTGATATTTGATTTAGTTATTCAACCTTCCTTTCTCTGTCTATCTATACATTTCTTTATCTGTTTCTTTTGCTGTTTGATCATCTGTCTGTCTGTCTATCTCTTTGTCTTTGTAAGTCCCGTAGTTTCTTAAATCACATTATGTTTCTGCAGTAGCTTGTGAAAACGTATGTTGGTTTATTTGTATAAAAATGCATTTTCCCAAGGGACAGTTCACCCCAACATCGCTCACTTGATTCATGGTGGAGAAGCATATCCGAATTCTAACTAATGAAATTAAATATTTCATACTTATCGCCAAGATCCCCTCTGAATCGTATTTAATAAAGGTAAAGAAAATAACCCGAATAACGATAAAACTGATATTCGTATATCTTTCAACTGAACATAGTAACTCCTGTACTTTTGAAAAGTTTGATTGATTTGCATCCATATTTAGACAGTTAGGTTGACATTTGACTTATTTTAGCATTTTCTTATCTGTATGTGTAATGCCCCGTTCTGTCACGTTCTCTTCCATCCACCCGAATTTCATTCAAATGACAGGACGAACCGATGCGTATGTTAAAGTGAAGTACCGGGGTAAAACATGCCTTCGGACACCATTGATTTCGAACAACCCAAATCCGGTTTGGGATGAGAAATGTCTGGTTCCGATCAGTAATTTAAACTATCCGATTGAGGTAAATGGGTGACAATTTATGGTTTGGAATTCTTTGTACATATTGTGCGAAATGAGTCCAATGTGGTTACTTTATCGGTTATCGTCTGTGAAGAGATTGTTCTGTTTTTCTCTGTCTTCTCTCTGTTATTTCCCTTACTTAATGTATAATAGTACTGGCATTTCTCAGGAGAAAAGAAATAGACCAATCAAAAGGTTGCCATATGCTGTGAAACAGTTGAACTTAAGGAGGTGGTAGTGGTAGGGTTTAAACACGTAACCTAAACGGTCAACTGGACAGTGAAACACTAATCTTCAGCATTGCGGGGCATTTTAAGACGATCTGGCTTAGTTTGACACAACAAACAAAAAATCTTGTTTTATATTTGTTTTCCTATGATTGTCTGAACCATTTACACATCAATTTACGTCTGGAAACACAAGTTCTTGACTACGTGCAAGATGTCTTCACGAATGCTTTATCGTGGAGGCACTTCGCTATTGTTCTCCGAGACAGTGCTAATACACCTGGAACCTTGATGATGGGGTAACTGGCGAACGTTTACTAATGTAATCGAAATCAGGGCCAATAGTACGCTTGTGTACATATTTTCGAAAAACAACTTTTCTGATTATTGAACTCCGCTTAATAATAAAGTTCCAACCACCAACTGCCTCCCCATTACGATCACTTAATCAAGAAATGATTAAGGTACCAGCTGAAAACTAGGGTTTCACCCTATCCTACTTTAATATCTACCAGTAGTACAAGGATATGTGGGAAAAAAGAGTGACGTCACTTATTTTCAGTTACTTCCCCTCCATTGTTAGAACGATCTGCGGACTTCGGACTTCTCTGTTTAGTTAAACATGTGGGATTTTCTTTCATCACTCACCTATTTTTGCTAACCGAATGACAAGTTGTATATTACAGTTTAACAGCTAGTGCTGTTGTGTGCAGAGGCAGTCAGTAAGAGAAGTAGTTAACCCGTAGAGAGTATTTATTTGCGCTCTACGTTGAAAGCATCATCAATTCGCTATGTGCACGTAAATGCATTTACGAAATCGGACTTATTACAGTTTTGAATACATGATGAAAGCCGATAGTTTGCACAAATTCATCTCGCTGCATCACTCACTTCGATCTTACTATTTCCTTTATTTTTCAGCTTCGCGTCTATCACCAGGATGCCAGGAAGAAGAATGAATTTATTGGGAGTGCCATTGAATATCCCTCAATGCTCAAATTTGGCGTGTGAGTCTCCATCCAAAACACTCTCTCCAGTTCGATGTGCCTGTTTATTGAGTTGGTTGAAGAGTGCCAGACCTCGAGAAATTCTCTGGCGTGTTTTGACCGGGCTTGGTCGATAATTCTCACTGATTCGAAATCAAATTGATGTCCCTGATTTGATATCCTTGATATCCTTGATTTCCCTCCACGAAGATCAAGAAGGACATCAATTCGATTTCGAATCAGTGA